GTGAGTTTGACTTGTAGTACAGTGTATTCCAAAATATTCTTTTTGGAAGAGTTTTCAAGTGTTTTTTTGTGGTACTTTTCTCTCATGTTCAAGAGCTTTTAATTGATGTATTCAAGGAGAATGGTGGTTGTACTTATAGTACACTGTATATAGCTAAGAATATATCATGTCATCATAATAAGCTAGTAGCAAAAGCTTATTTTAAAGTAACACTCTTTTTAAGTTTTTGTGGAACATTTTGTCATAATATTATATCTTCATTTATGAGCAGAAGTAGTAATTTGAGTATAACTTGGAGTACACAGTGACCAATTCCAATTAGATTACATCACATCACCTCATTCATAAGAGTAATTATCATACAACAGGTGAAAGATAGCCACACCCTAAACTAATTCAAATTAGCCTCAAACATATCTTATCTGTCATATGCGATCACTTAAAACTGTAAACAGTAATTTTTTTCATTTCACATGTTTATTTTATTGTTTTTAAATTTAATATTCAAGGCTTTGAAATTGTTTAATTATCTATTCAATTGTTTTTTCATCTACATACATTTATTATTTTCTGAGTTTTCAGATCTTAGATCCATCAGCAGGGAATGTAGTGTTACGATTGAAAAAGCAACTAAATTGATTACATGTTTTRTTATCATTGTGGTTTTGATATTTTTAAAAATTCTTAGCCACATTAATAACAATCTATCTTAAAAACAATACTTGTAAATATTAATATTAGTATCCCAGTTATTTAGTATTTATTCACTAGCCACATAAATTATAATTTTATCTAAAATAATTTATTATTTTTGAGAATACTCAACCAATATCTCAGTAATTTTGCATTAGAGTGAAGTCATTTAACCTGTGAAATAGATATTAGACTAATACTCTTTAGTAGACCCTAATTCCATTGTTTTCTTTTGTGTCTATTTGACTATTACACGTTGACGAATAATTTTTATTTCACAGGTTAAATGCCTTCACTCTAGTATTTGCAGAATATTATCTTATTCTCAATGAATTGTATAAATGCTACTTAGCTCGACTAGATATGTTAGCTCTATCTTAGATCCATCATCAGCAAATATGGTGTTACAATTGAAAAAGCAACTAAATTGATTACATGTTTTATTATCATTGTGGTTTTGATATTTTCTTAAAATCCTTAGCCAAATCAATAACAATTCTATCTTAAAAACAAATATTGTAAATATTGTCTCRTAAATAATAGTATACCAGTTATTTAGTATTTATTCACTAGCCACATTGATTATAATTTTATCTACAATAATTTATTATTTTTTAGAATACTCAATCAATATCTCAGTAATTTGGCATTAGTATTTGCAGAATATTATATTATTCTCAATGAATTTTTTAAATGCTACTTAGCTCAACTAGCTATCTTAGCTCTATCTTAGATCCATCATCAGGAAGTAATGGTGTTACAAATGAAGAATGACTAAATTGATTACATGTTTTATTATCATTGTGGTTTTGATATTTAAAAAAATTCTTAGCCACATTAATAACAATTCTATCTTAAAAACAATATTAAATATTGGGATTCCCATTGTTTGGGCTTCCTGTGTTAACTCTGGTAAGCGACCATCTCCCATAAGCGACAACTTTCTCCTGGCCCTGAGATGGTTGCTTACGGGACAGTCGATTGTACAACAAGTGAATGAGAATGACTAGTGGTTACTAGTTGGGACTGTGTTGGTGTGTT